TAGTACCATCGGCTGCAGGATCTTTGAACTCCTTAGATGTTCTAGATTCCTTAGAATCTCTTCCATCGGATACGGGGTACACTGGTTCAACTTCGTTTTTATCATACCCCTTACAAACTACCAATGTAATTGTGTTTCCTGAACATCGCAGTATATTTACTGCTTCTTGATGAGTTGCACCTAATAATGATGTACCATTTACTTCCAATAGTCTCATGCCAACCTAAAATTGAAAACATAATAACAATACCGTACAAGAAGCTTACTGTTTTTATAAGCTATTGTTACCTTCAGTCTTCCATCTCTTTTAGCTGCGCCACCTGAATTTATTTTAGATATAAAAACTCCTTCGTCCGTGTGATCAAGGGGATTACCCTTTTGTCCTCGAAGTCCGCCTTTTATGTGCATGCCCAGTTTTTCTCCTGGTTCTTTCGTTATAACCAATTCCTAAAATATAATATTAGTGTTAAATATATTTTTACCACTTTTCGCACTATTTTATTTAAAATTTAAAAAATCTTTATTCCCTTAATCTGACTTTGAAATATTAAACCACATAAAAATTTAATTTTTAATTATCTTGCATATTCTTATATAAATCATAAATACAATGTACAATATCGAATAAAATAATCTTCCCGAGGGAAAATGGTGATATAGGAGGAGCAGGACTTGTCAATATCGTAATTCTGACGATGTTAAAGTAGAGACTGGAAAATGAACCATTTCCCCGAAAAAGTCTATTATGCTCGATACTGTACAATGACTTTTACTTTATTACATAGGTTTTTCAATTTAACACAAAGCATATAAAGCACGTTAAAGAAAAAACAAAACTGTAAAATTCTATATAATATCAGCCAAGGCAGAAAAGCAAATTGTTCATGATTTAGTGCCGAGCTTGATTGCAGCCTGAACAAAAGAATAAGCATAGTATAGAAATAAAAAACAAACCAGGTCAAATAAATTGAGTACTTACTGTCACAGGGATGTACTCTATTTCGACCAGCTTGTAGGACAAATTATAAATAATGGCATTAAGAAATGATTGTAAGCACCGAGTGCCATTGTTTGCAAATGATAAGCACTGATTATAATTAGCATAATGCGTGAAGTACTAACAATCGAATGTTTCGGCTCTATTCTATTTTCTGCCTAGTTAAAATTACTATTTTTTATGTACATTCTTAGGTGAATTAAATGTATGCACATATGTATTTACGTTTGCAATTTTTGTATTTAGTTTTAAATTATCTCAATATTTGAACACTAAAAATCGTGAAACTCAGGATGATTAATAAACATTCACTGTGAATTAGTGATCGACAAAATTACATTTCTGTAAGCGTGTTTGAACTAGAAAGCTATTTTGTAATTAAGCGGAAACTGTGTGCAATATCTAGCAAGCACGTCAATGAATACATTACAAATATTTACCTGGTAATTCTCTGGTAATGGATCATGTTGAACAGTAAGAATAATTTGATCTCCTGGTCGTAAAAGTTCCATCACAGCCTCTTGATGAGTAGCTTTTGTTACATCAGTACCATTTACCTTCAGTATTCTATCACCCATCCTTAATTTACCAGATTTTGCAGCAATACCACCAGGTACAACCTAATATGTTTATACACAACGTTTATACAGCAATTTGTTTATAATTATAATATAACAAAACCCAGAGTGAAGTTTTACAAGGAAAGTACTTACGTGTGATATGAAAATTCCTGGTTCTTTTGCACCAAATGGTGTACAAGAATGATCTGTACCACCAATGATACTGAATCCTAAAGATCCCTCTTTCACAAGAACTACATCCTAAACAAAAATTTTATTATTAAAATATATGGTACCTTTCAAAAAGTTCTTGTTTTACTTAAGCTATTTAAACGAATTATTTTAATAATACATTATGCACTTATAATGGATTAATACAAATGCATGAATGTATAATATAGTAACGTATTAATAATACAATAATGATTAACTTTCCTACTTACCTATTTCCATGCCAGAGGATAAGCACCCCAATGTATAAAATATAGCACAACATCCCATACAACCAATTCCTATCAAGTACTTTTATTTTACCAATGAACACAAGGTACAAGAGAGGAATAATTATATTGAATAAATGAATCAAGTTGACAACAACACATTTAAAATATATAAGCATGCAATAATAAGTATATAATTTGTGCCAAATTAGATACTTTTATAAACAATGCCCACAACAATTTTGAATGGTTTTTTATACAAGAAAATAAAATTAATATTTTTTTTAATCAAAAAACAATCCCACAAAAACACGTACCAAGCATTGCTGTATAAAGTAATGCGAATTTATAAAAACATTTTCTTTATTAAACATGCACAAAAAGGAAAACCACTTAACCACCATTTTGTAAATTGTAATTATTTAGAATCTTAATTGATTGCAGTGAAACGTGCTAAAAAACGTTTTAATGTTATAATTCCAAAGTAGGAATATTGTTAAATGATATTTACCAACATTGTGATTATCATCCAAGCATGGAAATACATAAGTTAATGGACCACGAGTGTTAAATACTTAACTTTAGTTTAAAATATTTAAAAAAATGCTACTATTCCCATATCGAAGAAGAAGTAATTATAATCTCAATATTTAGAAAGTTATATGATTCTCAAACTTTCTTTTTTATCGCTATTTAAAATATAACGAAACAATATTTTCTCAATAACAATTTTGCATGATTTCTTCAAATTGCATGTACAACGTAATTCATGCATCTAACTACCAAGCACATACCTCAATAATCACTGGTGGTACCAATTGATTTTCGGTCACTCTAGTTACGACGGTCTCGGTGAGAGTGCTCTTTGTGATGGTCTCAGTAACTTTACCAAGAGTGGTAGGAGCCGGAGGAAAATTAACATCTCCAGGTAGATTATCAGGCTGTTTTATTGTCACCGTCACGATAGGGCCTTGATGGGGGTCTGGCGATGGCGAGGATGTAGGACGAAGGAAATGAGCGGGAATCATAGCCTGAAATTCTTCGTTGGTGATAGGCTTCGGTACCTGTATGTCTTCCTGGGGTGAGGTTGACCTAGGCTCTGTAGGAGAGGTAGGCGTCGAGCCAGCAGTTGTCGTGGGTGTAATCGTCGGCTGTGAAATGCTATGCCTCGGAGCAGGTTGTGGATGCGGTTGACTATTTGTCGGACTTGGCGATATTGATGGAGCATTCTTAACGGAGCCTCCTGTTTCTGTAACGCCATTCATTTTGGTCGTCTCAGTAATTTCAATTTTCATGGGAGGCGGTGTTTTTGAAGTGGGACTCGGAGATAAAGTCCTATCAGCATCGATGGAACGTCGATAGCTGGTATACCCTGGCTTATTTGCAATATAACTATTTGCATTATACAAGCCTGTATATGGTTTAGGAGCCCCAATAACACGTGGTGATTTTTCTGAAGGTGTTACAACCGTGGCTGCGTTCGCTTGGGAAAGTGGAATTTCACGTTCGACTACCAGTCGAACGAATCTTTCCAAGCCTGTTAACAAAGCAACTGCTTGTTCATGTTTAGCTCCTCTCATTTCAACACCATTTATCTGGAAATTAATATATTAAACATCAGAAGATAAAATATATACGGAATTATAACTAAACATGTTATCACATGAATTGTATGAATTGTAACACTTACAGATATTACTTTGTCCCCAACTAATAATTTACCATCTTTTTGTGCCACACCACCATCGGTTATTCTTGAGATATATATCGCCTAGAAAATTGTATTCGAAAAATATACAGAATAGATATAATTAAACACACATGAAAAAGATAGTATTACTAATTTTTATATCTTACATCACTATTGTCTTTAAATGGCGGGGAACCTTCTCCACCAGCAATACTAAATCCAAGCCCATTTTGGTCCCGTATTAATGTCGTATGAACAAGAACAGATACCATTGGTTCACTTCCTGCCCTTGTCGAGCATATAGGTTCTGGAATTTTCTTGGGCTAATTGATAGAAAAAAATATATTTTCAAAGTTTACACATTGATGTCAAATCTATACATTGCAATTATTAAATACAAAATGGTATGTACCTTGATAGTGTCATGAGGTAAAGACGTATCACCGTTCTCTAAGTTATGTGGTATACCCGTGGATGAAACATGGGATGTTGCACTTGGAGCTCTACTGGTACTTAAACTCGAGCACGCTGAATCTTTTCTAGATGATCCCTGTTAGGTATGATAATGTTAATAATGCTGTAACCATCGTATATTTAAGAATGTGCTACCTGTTCATACGGCGGTACTATCCTCGTTACTTCTCTTTGAACTACTAATACAAGGACACGTCCGCACGCCTTCAAAACTTCTACAGCATCGTAATGACCTACGTTTACTACCGAGACACCATTTACGGATAATACTTTATCTTCCACTTTTAAACCCGCTAAATCTGCAGGTCCACCTATAAAGTTTAATATAGATTGTAATTATCTCTTTTATAAAAAAATTAAATAAATTTTTAACTTTAATTTTTACCTTCGGTAACTCTAGAAATAAAAATGCCTTCATCGTCACCCTTAAAAGGGGTTGAACCAATTCCACCGGCTATCGACAAACCAAGACCCCCAGTCGTTCTTTCGATATGAATTTCATATTGTTCTTCTCTTACTTCTATTGTTGGTTCAACATCGGATGTGGCGCCTAGAATTATTATGAATAATTAGCGTGATTCACTGATTACATCACTCTTGATTAATCATTACCATTGTTTCTTTTCTTTCTTACAAAACATCTGTATCTTTTTGGCATTTTTTCCACTATCCTTATAAACAATATCCACTGTCGCTTGAATTTTTAAATGAACATTACCACTTTATAATATCATTTTACGCATGTACATTCGCGACGCTAAGTTGAGTAGATAATTAGATAAGAGATAAGGTATCTAAAGAGAAGGAATATCTTATCATAGTCTGTTTGCTCTCACGATTACGATGAAATCATATCGAGAAATATTCGCCGTGCAGTGTATACCGGAAAGTTGCAACAAGTACTGAATCATTTTATTACATTTTAAGGTGTGGAAATTGTTAAAAGTTACGTATTTTAAAAATCTTCTTAAATATTGCATTTTTAGGGCGCTATAAAAATGTGTACAAATTGAATAGTGACACAACAAATGTGATTATTATTTTACCTTGACTTTGAGTGTCAAAATTTTCCGCAGGTTCTGCAGGCGCTGACGTGGATGTAGGTGTGTCTTCAGGTTTCTTCATAAGTGCCTATATAAACAATTCATTTAATTATAACAAATATATACATACATTTATATATTTAACGTTCTTTAAATATACGTTTCAGATAGACAATGATCTTACCTGGGCAATAATGGAAGCTACTTTTTCTTTATCTACCGCCGTATGAATACGTTTATTCTTCAGGTGATGTGGAGTGTCTCTACGATGAAGCCTATTTGGTCTATTTGAATCACCGCTACCTTCATAATCAGTACCCTCTGTTACAGAAAATTCTACGTGTCTTTCAGTCCCTTCGTTTTCGGATTCGTCATCTTCCTTTTCACTTTTCTCCTTTAGCTCAGAAACTGAATCATCAATCCTTGTCTCCTAAGAGTACGAAAAATAAACAATATAAAAATTTATAGATGAAAATAAATAAATAAGTTTATCGGCTGCTGTGTAAGTTCTTACAGCACTAGGTTCTGCAGCATATTTATTACAAACTACTTCTGATTCGTTATTAGACTGGAGATCAGCATTGTTAGTCAATGTTCCAGGTACGATTTGTGTTTCTTCATTTTCTACCGATTCAGGTTTTGCTGGTTCTAATTCCGTAGAAACTTCTATTAAATCACTAGATTTTGTTATGGTATCAGTCTCAGTTTTATCTAAACCAAACGTTTGAGAAATATCCTAGAAGAATATTAATAATTATTTCATCATTTGCAAATGTTTTTTCTCCTTATTTTTAACTTTTTTTCTAAAAGGATTACCTGTTCTTCTGTAGACGCTGATCGGCTGTCATTCTTTCCTTTGCTGAATAATTTATGAGCCTTTGCTTTCAATTCTTTAGGATGAGGAGTATTTTGCCGTACAAATGGTGTCTGAAATAAATACAAATCCTTACATACATTATACTTATGTAGATAAACGGCGAGGAAAAAAATGACACTTCTATTTCATTTTTTGTTATTTTAACTTTAATACAATGAATTGTACGAGTAACCTTTCCAACATATAAAATAACGCGATAGTATTCTGAATTTAGATCTAACGTATCGAAAGAATTTCTGTTTTCTTGTGCGTTGTCTCACCTCCTTATCAGTTTCTGGAGGTTCGTCTGTAAATTTAACAGAATGCGTTCGTGATGCTTCTTTTTCTTGCCATTCTTCGTCGTCACTGCTACCAAGTTCACGTACGTCACCACCTTGCACAGCATTTCTCATCCCAACAAGCATACCAAGTCTTCCTGAATCTAAATAAGACAATGTATCAAATACAATTTCAACTATGATTTAAATACGTTAATCGTCTGCTAACCATCAGGATGAATTTCTAATTGTGGTAGGAGAAAACATGTTAATACTTCTTGTCCAGTTTCTTCATCGATATCTGTCTGAAAAGTAAGCATTGGTTGTGCTTGATTTTCACTTAACCATACTGCCTTTAAGTTCAGATTGATCAAGGAATATGGCAAATACTGTAATCTGGAACAACAAATATCGTTATTAAAAATTTGTTGAAACAAAATTTACAAACTGCAATTATAATTACAATTACCTGTTGCCGGATACATCTAATACATGAAGAGCAGTACAATGGCCAACTTCAACTGGAAGATATTGCAATTTGTTATCTCTTAGAGATAGTACACCCAACTGTTTCAAATTCCCTGAAATGAAAATAAAAAATACATTCAAAGAAAATTATTCTTAATGATAATTACAGTTTGATCTCGACAAACTTTTTTTACCGATTTCTGTAGGAAGCAATTGTAAACTATTTCTGTCTACATTTAAATTATTTAGATTAAGAAGTTTTCCTATAGTTGAAGGCAGTTCTAACAGAAAATTTTCTGTAAGAATTAGTTCCTGTAAATTTTCACACCTGAAACAAACAAATATATTAATCTCTGTTTCCCTTTCTCTTAACACAATGCATATCTGTTACAAGAAGAAAATTAATCTCACCTGCCTATATTTGGATTTAAAGTAGAAAGTCTATTTTGATCAACTTTAAGAATGGTCAGTTTCTTAAGCTCTCCAAGTCCATCAGGCAATTTTTCAATAACATTTTGAGATAAATGTAAATCGGTCAAGGACTCTAAACCTCCAATTTCTTCTGGAAGATCTTCCAAGCGATTTTCTGACACGTCTAAACACGCTAACGTTTTCAATTGTCCAATTTCAGATGGTAAATGTTGCAACTGATTGTGATCTAACCATAATTCTTGTAATGCTGGCAATTTTCCTATATGTGCTGGCTAAAATACATACCAATCGTTAACGTTCAATCTCGTGTAATATTTTTTATAACGTTTCTGATGCTAATTTACCAAGACATCAATGTCATTGTCACCAAGATCCAGTCGCTCCAATTTATAAAGTTTCGACAGTGATTCCGGCAAAGTTTTGAGCAAATTTTCCCTCAACTCCAGTGACTGCAGTGCCTCCAAACTGGAAATAAACAATCAGAACAAGTTAGTACAATGCGATGCGATTGAATTGTTCGAGTTTAGCTTGAAACTTAATTAAAACAAGTTTTCTACATTACCTTCCGAAATCAGCTGGTAGATTCGTTAGGGACATATCATTAAGCCCTAGAACAGTCAAGTTCCTTAGCTGCACAAAACCTGCTGGGAGCCTACAATCATGTAAATGTAAAAATAAGCTGATTTCCTTTTGAATTTCTATTAAATATGTCTCCATACTTAGATACTTACCTTGGAATTGGATTACTACTGAAGTCCGCCACCTGAAGTGCCCGTAAATTCTTGATGTTCTCAGGAATATCTGGTATATCTGTAACAGAAAAAAATCAAACGTTTGATAAATTAATATTACATAAAGGACACGGAAAAATTTTTTATTTTGCATAGCACTGATAATTCCATTGATAAACAGTGGCATGGTGGGTACGGTAACTATGTAATTACGAACGACAAGGTTATGAGTTTTCGAATCCTAGTCAGGGCCGACCCTGGGCCTAGTGAATTTCTACATTAATATTAATACAAGTAAAAAAATTGAACTCAAGTATAATTTGCCAACGGATTAAAAGGGGGAGAAAATCTTGACAAATATAGTTTGCCGTTCGATCGAAAAGGGTATTAAGGATCGCCAAAAATAGGAAGCTAATTTAGCCGTGTCGAATTCACGATCGAAGGCCCCCGTTCTCAATTGCCGTTTCGTCATCAATGAACGTAAAGTCAGGTTTCCCGATTTGCCGTGTATCGAGATGCGCTATTTCTTGCGGCTTACGTAATTCCCGGTTGTTTTTCTTCCGTTTGACAATTCCGATACACGTGCAAGCCCGACGAATTTTCTCCACCTGGAAGGAGAGGCTGCTTATCGAAAACAGGACTTATTAACCCGCCTCTAATTGATGCTGGTACGATGCACAACTATGTCATCCGCGTGTACGGTTAATTAATCAACACGTCCAATGACAAATTCTTTGGAGAGAAACATACCTACCAACTCGTGACTGAACACTGCTATTGCATAAGAATGCAGGATGCTGTTGTGGGATGAGATAATACCCCGCATTCCTGCGCTCCTTCTCACCGTTCAAGTTGAAGTATTTAATGAACCAAAGTGAAAACCAAACGAACGGTTTCGAACGCGGAAGCTGCTCGTTACAGAATACGTTTCATTCGATTCGACGTGAGCGATTTCATTTTAATTGGAACACGGGTTAATAACGCGACGCTGGAAACGAATGAGCAAAAATTGATTAAATATTGAATTAACATATTTTATTAACATAAAGGGAAAATGGTAACAGGATTATGACGAATACATGAGTTACAGCGTATCGTGAATCACGACACGATTATGCATTCTTCAGTTAGGAGATGAAACGCGGAGGGAAGGGAGAGGGATGGGAAAACGAGTATCGCATAGCGATAGGCTTCACGGGCAAATTGAACCTTGAAAATCCGCTAGTTACTTTTAAGACAGTGGTTCGCAGTTCCAGACCGTTATGCAAATATTTCCCCAATTCCTGAACCGTGTTGTTCGTATTTTCATTGTATTTCCATGCTCGGCAGTAGCGAGTCTTTTAGATTTCTATCTAGAAAATGTCGACAAGAACTGTACAATCTTGTATGTTTAAAGAAACTAGAATTTTTTTACCGATAACATAACAACGTGAGGTAAACGCACGTGTCTCGTGATCAATGTACCTATGTGTGCACTCATACTGTACCATCGATGCATGCACGGTGCGCGCAACAGAACGCAACGCCAGCGACGTGGAGCAATTACAAACTAACCGTGATTCCGCCAGACGGAAGAGACCAGACCCCTTCGTTCACCGGATCTCTTTGTTCCCAAAAGGATGTTAATGATCGATGAACAAAGGTTATATGTCTGAGGACTTTTATAGCGAGGAATGGATGCACAAAAGACCGATTCGTAATGTTTGCCCATTCTGTCTTTGAACGTATCGAATGGTATACGGTGGATGTTATCGATCGATAAACTTTCACAGGTTCTGGGCTAATACAGTATGTCCCGAGGAAACGATACGCCATCTCATGGTTTTGTGGTTAAAATATCTGATCGAGCGATACGATTACTAGACGTGCAAACACACTAACGCGTGTGTACAAGCCTTGCGTGGATATTTTTAATACGTTCCTCTGGTGCGAACGATTTTGAAGATTGTCCCGCGCGACAGTGACGCACGTCGAACATGCCCGCCGTGGTTTTCTCAAAATGCGTTTACATGCACGCGATGCATAACGATTGATTCCAAGTATATCAAGGTTGAGGTTCGATGGATGAATGCGTTCACACGAAGGAAACTGACAATGAAATAAAAACGTTGGAAAATAAAAGGTTTTTCATTGAAAAATTTCCACCGTGTTTCCCCTTCGAGTATCGAAGTGATCGGCAGTAAAATAACGCAAGGCCATTAACAACGGTACCCGACAATGGCGCTCTCTCGTGTAAACAATAAAAATTGCTCGTGAAAAGAATCGCGCGCGTTTATTGCAAAATTGTTTCCTACCGCGCCTCTACGATAATTCACCCGTATGACCATGGTTACACCCTTCGTGTTTTTTTTTTTTTTTTTCTTTTTGTTCCATCGAATTAGTCGATTTTCAGTAGCCACTCGAATCGCGGTCAATTACCACGCCTATGGAACGACTGCGGTAACCTGTAATTAAGCAGCCGGTAAATAACACAAAACAGCTGCTGCTCTCCTACGAAACGCGTTCGCCACTGTAAACATTATAAATAGCGCGAAACATCCACCCTCGGCCTTTGCAATTTACCTTGGAAGAAGAGGAGGTGGTGGAGGCCGTGTAACACAGATGTGCGAGGGACGGACGGCTCGGCCGATATGTGAACACACGCACTAAGTTTAAGTAAATAGGATCCATTACTGTGCACGGAAAACACGAATCCGTGTTTCTCTCTGATGTACCGATTATCGTTTTTCGTACGCGTAACCGTGATTTTCAACGTATCGATTAATTTAAAAGAAATTAACATACAGATTAAAGGGTTAATGCATTTTGCAATCATACATTTTAACAAGCGTACAATTATTCCTGGATAATTAGACTTCTATTTTCGAAAAAAGAATTTCTTATTTTACATCTTTATTTTTATCCACGGAATCAGCTCCTCCCGTTCGCATCGTTTGATTAACAGGACACCCAGTATAGACCGAACAGTTTACCCGACGCAACACTGTTTATGATTATTCAGACTATACGGCCTCGGCGGAAAAAATTCAATCGGGTAAACAGCCTTTAAAGCCGAAGCTTTCGTGACGTGTAATTTTATGCCGCATAAATTGCAAGAGATATTCACCGCTGCGGTTTTCCGTCGCGGATACGCAACAGGGAACAGGGGGCGATACGCGGTGAGGGTAAAAGATTACAGTGCACGTACATTCTTTTTTTCCTCTTACGTAATATCCGTGTCACACGTTAAAGAATCGATCGACAGAGAGGAAAAAAAAAAAAAGGATTCCTGCATTCTTCGATAATTCAATATTTATTTCGTAATAAACATGCAAAATATATTAATATTTTTTTCTGGTCGTACAGATTTATCGGTTAACACGACCGATAGGAACCTTTATAAAATCTCTCGGAAGGAAAAAAAGGGAAAATCCGAGGGTAACGGCAGCCCATTTATGCATCATGGGTGCATGTGTGCAATTTATGTTCTTATGTAATAAACGCGTGACACGTGAACGCCTGACGAACTCTTATCGTTTAGAATTTTTCTCTGTGAGGTAATTCATCCTTCCCAGAAGGTTAAAGACACTTTCCTGGCAACTATATACCCTCTCATAATGAATTACCGGATGACGGACCACGGAGAGAGACCATAGGGGTAAAGGAAATTTTATTTCAACCCCTTTTACCTTTCTTTGCTTTTATGTATCTAACGGAGAAAAATAGAGAACATTTTCGATAGAATTTTCTTCCGGTCAAACACTCGTCGCTCCGGAAATGGGGTGACAAATGGGCCAACGAAGTGGAAAGTGTAGTTTGCTCGACGAAGCTTGCAAAAATATTATCGTTTCGTTCGGGCTCTACTGGTATATGGTGTAATTAACGATCACGCGTGGCGAGTAACATTATTTTCCTTCGTGTTATTACGTGCTCATTCCTGGCAAACAGCTTGGAAAACATAGATTTTCTTCCTGGTAAAAATAATCGTCTTAGAGGAAGA